ATATATATATATGTGTGTATATAAATATATCCATGTCACATGTCATCAGCTTTTGTTGATGTCCCCTGGCAAAGTTTGCAAACGTTTGCCAATAGTTTCTAGATACTAGTAGATTCTTGTTACTAGTAGTATTGGCCGCCAACCTAATAGCGATGGCCTCCCTAATAGCTTCTAGCTACTAACAGCTTCTAGCTACTAGTAGCCTGTGGTTGCTAGTAGTAATGGCCTCCAACCTAATAGCGATGGCCTCCAACCTAATAGCTTCTAGCTACTAGTAGCCTGTTGTTACTAGTAGTAATGGCCTCCAACCTAATAGCGACGGCCTCCAACCTGGTCCAACTGAATAGCTTCTAGCTACTAGTAGCTTTTTCTTACAGTACTAGCAGTAATGGCCTCCAATCTAATAGCTTCTAGCTACTTGTAGCTTCTCGTTACTAGTAGTAATGGCCTCCAAACTAGCAGCTTCTATCTACTAGTAAATTCTTGCTAGTAGTAATGGACTCCAACCTAATAGCGATGGCCTCCACCCTAATAGCTTCTAGCTACTAATAGCTTCTAGCTACTAGTAGCTTCTAGCTACTAGTAGCTTCTTGTTACTAGTAGTAATGGCCTCCAACCTAATAGCGATGGCCTCCCTAATAGCTTCTAGCTACTAATAGCTTCTAGCTACTAGTAGCCTGTGGTTGCTAGTAGTAATGGCCTCCAACCTAATAGCGATGGCCTCCAACCTAATAGCTTCTAGCTACTAGTAGCCTGTTGTTACTAGTAGAAATGGCCTCCAACCTAATAGCGACGGCCTCCAACCTGGTCCAACTGAATAGCTTCTAGCTACTAGTAGCTTCTTCTTACAGTACTAGCAGTAATGGCCTCCAATCTAATAGCTTCTAGCTACTTGTAGCTTCTCGTTACTAGTAGTAATGGCCTCCAAACTAGCAGCTTCTATCTACTAGTAAATTCGTGCTAGTAGTAATGGCCTCCACCCCAATAGCGATGGCCTCCACCCTGATAGCTTCTAGCTACTATTAGCTTCTAGCTACTAGTAGCTTCTTGTTACTAGTAGTACTGGCCTCCAACCTAATAGCGATGGCCTCCAACCTAATAGCTTCTAGCTACAGGTAGCCTTTTGTTACTAGTAGTAACGGCCTCCAACCTAATAGTGACGGCCTCCAACCTGGTCCAACTAAATTCCTTCTAGCTACTAGTAGCTTCTTCTTACAGTACTAGCAGTAATGGCCTCCAATCTAATAGCTTCTAGCTACTTGTAGCATCTCGTTACTAGTAGTAATGGCCTCCAACCTAGCAGCTTCTATCTACTAGTAAATTCTTGCTTGTAGCAATGGCCTCCAACCTGATAGCGACGGCCTCCACCCTAATAGCTTCTAGCTATTAGTAGCTTCTTGTTACTAGTACGTAGTAATGACCTCCAATCTAATAGCGATGGCCTCCGACCTTGAAGCCTTTGTTACTTGTAGCTTCTTCTTACTAGGAATTTCCCGTGACACAGGCAGTCCCCACCGGTCTCAGTATCTGTGGTTCGGGCGACTTCGCCCAACCGCCTGAAAAGTGTGAGAAAGACATCCAGAATACTGGTCATCCCTTTCAGGTCCTCCCCTGTTGGACAAGGTGATGGTTACTTTCAGGCCCCTCTCTCCGCAAAGGTCTACTTCTTCCCGCTCTCCGTGTGTTTGGCCCCACTCCGCGGAGTCTCTCGCTGAGGTGCGCAGCCGCTTCTAAGGGATTGTGGCCACCTCCTCGGTGATCTTCTGGTTGATCCTCAGCGTGGCGAGGGCGCTGCCAACAAACGCGCACGTGGTGGACATCGTGTTATACTGCGCGGAGCGTTTCCGTGGGATTCTTTTTCACCAACGAATTCGAGTCTGTTCTCTGTACATGCTCGCTCTGTTCGTGTGAGGAACAAACTTCGAAACATAGAACGTCAGGACACCCACTGCCCTATTCTGAGACAAACTCCTTTGGCCCTTTCACTACGTTTCACTGCGTCACGGCCATGTCAGTTCCTAACACGAAAAAAAGGCACTTTCTGTCTGATGCCTCAGCAAATAATTGAATGCTGCTCATCTCCATTCGTGGCAGGGGAGTATAGCCAGCCCTCCTGT